TTGTGCAGGTTATGCGGCCTCAATGTGTGCGCGTTAAGTGGGGGAAGCATCGGTGGTTTGTGCACCCTTCACGGTTAAAGCCATTTTTTGCTCCGCACGCTTCCTCTCACGAAAATGGCCGAACATGTGGGGAGTCCACTGACTCCGGGAGGGCGGGGTCACCACCAGCCTCTGATCCGCTAATGACTGTCCCGTCTTCAGGAGCCCCAGGACTGAAGCCCTCTTGGCTGCCAGCCTCCCCCGTGGGGGTCGGCGCTGGCACGTCCGAGAAACCGGACGACCAGGCACCTGCGGATGCGGCACCTGCCGCCGACTCTACCAAGCCGGCACCTTGTGACGGGCCCGCTGCACGGACACGCGCCAAAACGCGCCGGTTGTTATGAATAGCTTTCCGCGCGTGTTCCGTTGCTGCGGAACCCGCTCATTATATATATTTTTTTGTTTGTGTGTGTGTGTGTATGGATGCTTCTTGTGCGTGGGGATGGCGAACCGCGTTCTGTATATGTGTTGCATTTTTGGGGAGGGGGTTTTTATAGGGGACCATCGGTTGTTGTTACACTTGTTCTTGTTATTGTTACTGTTACGAGGCACACGTGTGTTGACTGTGTTAATCTTTATTCTTGGGGGTTGAGGGATTGTTGCAGCCGGGACGGCTGCGAGCTGTACAGGGGGGGGGGGTGATGTAGGGATTATTACGGGAGAAACGGCGGACAACAAACACAGGGGTGTTGGCACTCACATACACGGGTGGTCACACCGACGTCCGCATCCGTTATTGCCCACGCCCCCAGCCCTCGGAGGTGATCCCTATAAAAGGTGGAGACCCAAAGAGCTCGTGGCAGTTCGACACGAAGCTGACCAGTGAAGATCCAAGACTCGGAGATTAGGCCCTGGGACTCCCCGGTCTCGCCGTCCTTATAAGGGCCGAGCCAGGTAAGCCAGCGGCGCGGCCCAAAAGCTTCCAGACCGCTGCCCTTATCAGGGCAAGGCTGGTTAGCTGGTGCCGAGATCTGTGCTTGCCAGGGCCAGATCAGTCAGCCTCCCGTAGCCCAGTAGAGGAGGACTGGGGAACAGGACAGGGGGCTTAGTACTAGGGTGGGTTTCCCATAGTACGGGTGAAGGGGCCGATACCCCTTCAACTATTGTGCCTGTCCCTGGGTTAATAAACAGAGTGTGCCTCAACTTCGACATCGTCTCCTCGAACTTACTACATCTGGTGTTGGAAGTGGTCCAAGCATGGATACGAGACGGACGACTCGTGCCCAAGACCCAGGAGAGGATGACGACGAGGGAGGGGCGGTGCAAGACATCACCGCCGACGTACCTGCACAACCGCTGCCGGCTCCGACATCGGCGGGGTCGTCGGAGAGGGCCGGGACGTCGACTGACGAGTTGGCGTTGGCTCACTCGCGGCTGGCGGAGCTCCTGTATGCAGCGGCCGCCATGCTGGAACAAATAACTCGCCTGGGGCCGGGAGGAGCGACGCGGCGGGAAGATGGACAACGCCCGCCAGAAACTCCCGCCTTTACAACAGAGAGGAGACTCGAAATTCCCGCCACAAAGACAGTAGGGGCAGAGGGAGGAGCTCCAGCTCGTCACGCGGGGGACGGAGCCCAGCCAGCAGCCGCCACGTCATCGGCGGAGGCGGGTCGCAGTGGCTGCCTATCGGGGGTTGCAACGTCACCACCATTGGACGCCGGCACCGACCAAGCCCCAACCAGCACGTCACTGACGGCGCGACACCCATTAGAGTCCGCCATTACTCGTACAGTACGGGGACGTGATACGGATGCTGCAAGAGGTTCGGAGACGGAGCCGACATTCCAGCAATGCCTGCCGGCCCTGCAGGTATTCGTAGCAAGCGACGGCGATTGGGGGGGGTTCCAGCGCCGGTTCCTTGCCCACCAAGAAATGGCGGGCTGGTCGGACAACGAGGTGCTGTGTGCTCTCCCGGCGATGCTGGATGGCGACGCCCTGGGCACCCTCACCGCTGCACCCAAGTCGGCACGCTCCACGATTCAGTCGGCGCTGTAGCTGCTGGCCACGGTTTATGGGCCGCCTTCCGATTGTCGCCAGCTCTTCTATGAACGGCAGAAGGGCGACAAGGAATCGCCACTTGCTTATCGCACGGCCCTGCTGTCATTGGCGAAAGACGCTTTCCCGCGTATGGACGAAGAAGGGATCGATGCGATGGTGGCCGAGAAAATTTTGCTGCTGGCCGACGACTTAGACTTCATCATCCTAGCACAGGATGATGCGGATATGTCATCATTGCGGGCTGCAAGGCACATTCACGCCAATCTCATCTCCCAGCGGAGGAAGGCAAACAAGGCAGCTGCACGACACACCGTGGCGGCGACCTCTTCCGGAATGGAGGGGGCCTTCGCTGCGGACCGTTCTGCAGGATGGCGATCTGCCGAGCGACCGGCTCGGGACGTTCCGAGCCACCGAGATCAGCCCAAGTCCTCTGGAGCGCTCGTCGTCTGCTACAATTGTGGCCTCCGGGGCCACGTGGCGTCCGGATGCCGGGCTCCTTGACAGCGCGGAGCGAGACCTGGAGCTGCGGACGGCCCTCCCCACAAGCCTTCGCAACATCCTCGGGCAAGTCATGGCACCCCACATGTTCGGCCTGCACACACACCCACTTTCCTCTCACAAGGTCCGATACACGATTCTCGGGGTTTGGGTGCTGGTGCGTCGGGTCGCGGCATGTCGGGGAGGGCGCTCCAACCGGGCCAATGGTCCGAGTTGGCTCACCGGGTTGTGGCTGCATCGGCGGGGTCGTCCGTTGTCACGGGGCATATTGACGGGGTGGAGGTACGGGTACTGGTCGATACGGGAGCTTCGGCAACTATCATTTCGGATTTGATTTATAATATCCTGCTCGTTCAGAGTCGTCCGTTGCTCCCTGTCGACATACCGTTTTACGCTGCGAATGGGGGCTCGTTGGGTATTATCGGCCAAATTCGAGCGCAAATTTCTATCGGGGACATTAAACTATCTGGCCCGGTGTTCGTCTCCTCCTCGCTGGCTATTCCGTGCCTGTTGGGGACAGACTTTTTGGCCAAATTGCCCATCAAAATTCTGATTGACCAGCGATGCATCGAGCTTCCATCAGGCCGACGTATTACGTTCCTGCCTTCCACCCCTGCCTTGCATACTGCCTGTGCTATGGTACAGGCACTCGTTGCTCGAACGGTGCGTGTACCCCCGGGGGCACAGATGCTAGTACCCCTGCGGTTGCGTCGACCGTTCGATAAAGGGGTCTCTGACCGGGGCATTATGTTGGGACCATCGAGAGCCGGGGTGAGTGGGCCAGATCTGGTGACGGCCCAGACTATTGTTAAAGGGGATGGGGACCCGTTTATCGCGGTCCTCAATGTCGGGACACGGACGGCGGTGGTTTCGCAGGGTACCGTGTTCGCACATGCGGTTCCGGTACCTGCGGAAACGCCGATCATTGGCCAGGTGGCCACCGATTCTCAAACGCGATTAGCCTCAGACACTGACGAGGGTTGGTTGGAGGCGTTGTGTGCTGAGTCACCTGACCTGTCCGACGCACAACGTGCTAAATTACGCGCCTTATTGCGAGAATTTTCCGACGTCTTCAGTAAACATAAATACGATATCGGATGTACCAAATTGCTACGCCACCATATTGACACCGGTGACAACGCTCCTATCCGCCAAAATCCTTTTCGGTTAAGTCCCGCCGAAAAGGATCATGTCAAATCGGCTGTAGATGACATGTTGAAATCTGACATCATTTCTCCCTCGACCAGCCCTTGGGGTGCACCCATAGTGTTGGTTAAAAAGCACGACGGGTCCCTAAGGTTCTGTGTCGATTTCCGGCGATTAAATAAGATCTCGGTGGCCGATGCTTATCCGCTTCCTCGAATGGACGAATCGCTGGATGCCCTCGCGGGATCGCGATTCTTCTCCACTTTGGATTTGCTCTCAGGATTTTGGCAACTTCCCTTGGACGACGAATCTAAGTCCAAAACAGCTTTCCGAACGCCGCACGGCCTCTTCCAATTCAATCGCTTACCCATGGGATTACACTCTGCTCCCGCGACGTTCCAGCGCCTGATGGAATTGGTTCTCGCTGGCTTGCAATGGGAGGTGTGTTTGATTTACCTGGATGACGTTATCGTATTCAGTAAGACGTTCGAGGAACATCTTGATAGGCTTCGGGCCGTCTTTCTCAAGATGCGCGCTGCTAATTTGAAATTCAAGCCACAAAAGTGCCATTTACTGCGCGAATCTGTTAAATATTTGGGTCACATCGTCGGCCGGTCAGGCATCTCAACCGATCCCGCCAAAACGCGTTGTGTCAGCTCCTGGCCTACTCCCACCTCGGTGGGGGAGGTTAGAAGCTTCATCGGATTTGCTTCATATTACCGCCGGTTTGTCGCGGACTTTGCTTCCATCGCTAAGCCACTACATGCCTTAACGTCAAAAGGGGTCAAATTTCATTGGGGGCTGGAGGAGGACGCCGCTTTTATCTCTCTTCGGGATGCCCTGGTGGGGGCCCCGCCGTTAAGCTACCCCGATTTTTCCATGCCCTTCGTGCTCGACACGGACGCAAGCAATACCGGGATTGGAGGCGTGCTGTCACAAATTGTGGGTGGCGTGGAGCGCGTTGTGGCTTATGGTAGTAGAGTATTGTCTCCGGCCGAGCAGCGGTACTGCGTCACCCGCCGCGAACTGTTGGCTATCGTGTTCTTTATCCAACAGTACCGACCATATCTGTACGGCCGGCATTTCACCGTCCGTACAGATCATGCGGCGTTGCAGTATGCCCTACGAATTAACCAGCCATCGGGGCAGTTGTCCCGATGGCTGGAGATCATGCAGGATTTCGATTTCGAGACAACTTACCGAAAGGGGATTCGCCACACCAATGCCAATGCCCTATCACGCCTGCCGATCGCTCCGGATTGCACTTGTTTCTTGGGTTCGGGCCGTTGCAAATCGGCAAGTGACTGGCCGGGATCGGGTTCTTGCGGCCGCAGTTGACACCCCTTCGGACGCTGGTCCTATTTCGGGGGGAGGGAAAGATTCCCTACTAGGCTTGTCAAGTGCTGAGTGGGGTCGCCTCCAAATGGAGGATGCGACCCTCCTGGCGCTACGACGTCGCGCGGAAGGATCAGGTCAAGGGAAGTCGGGCGTTGACTCATGGGGGTGGTGCCAGGGCCTACTCATGCATTGGGACGGGATGATCCGCCGTCACAGGCTGGTGGTGCCTTCCACGTTGAGGGGTAGGGCTGTATGGGCTGCTCATGAACGGCTCCTGCACCTGGGTACCCTCAAAACACTTGCCATGCTCCAGCTTAATTACTTTTGGCCGGGCATGGCAAGAGACGTGGACGATCTGCTGCAGTCCTGTACCCAGTGTGCACAACGGAAGCCGCCAGCAAAGGGAGCCAGTCCACCGCTCCAGTCTATTTCGGTCACCCGGGTTAATGAGCTGGTCGCCCTTGATATTTTGGGACCGTTTCCTTCCACGCCGAGGGGTAATAAGTACCTGCTGGTTGGCGTGGAATATTTCACGCGATGGCCTATGGCTTGGCCCCTCGCCAATCAGTCCGCAGCAGCCGTTGCAGAGGCTTTTGTTCAGGGCTACGTCCTCGACAAGGGCGCTCCGGAACGGTTGTTGACCGATCAGGGAAAGAATTTCACTAGTACCCTTTTACACGAGGTATGTGGCCTTCTGGGTACAAAAAAAATTCGTACCTCACCTTACCATCCACAAACGGATGGGATGGTGGAACGCCTGCATAGGACTCTTACGTCCATGCTATCCCACCAGGTATCTGAGTCCCAAACCGATTGGGATCTACGGATCGGGGGAGTCCTGGCAGCATACAGGATGGCTCCTCACGCGGCGACCGGATTCTGGCCATTTTTTTTTATGTATGGCCGCGAGGTTGACCCGCCTGTCGCGACTCAGCTGACGATTGCCGCGCCTCATGCTAAGTCCAAACTCGCGGACCATGTTAAATTTAACATCCTTCGGTTGGCGGAGGCACGGCAGGCGGCCATGCAAAACTCTGACTCTCGCCAGAAACAAAACGAGAGATTGCGATCGCGCCGGACACACACGCACGAATGGCACCCGGGCGACCGAGCATGGTTGCACTGCCCCCAGGTGCCATTGGCCACTTCGGCTAAGTTGTTGCGACCATGGAGGGGCCCTGTAGAAATTGTGCAGGTTATGCGGCCTCAATGTGTGCGCGTTAAGTGGGGGAAGCATCGGTGGTTTGTGCACCCTTCACGGTTAAAGCCATTTTTTGCTCCGCACGCTTCCTCTCACGAAAATGGCCGAACATGTGGGGAGTCCACTGACTCCGGGAGGGCGGGGTCACCACCAGCCTCTGATCCGCTAATGACTGTCCCGTCTTCAGGAGCCCCAGGACTGAAGCCCTCTTGGCTGCCAGCCTCCCCCGTGGGGGTCGGCGCTGGCACGTCCGAGAAACCGGACGACCAGGCACCTGCGGATGCGGCACCTGCCGCCGACTCTACCAAGCCGGCACCTTGTGACGGGCCCGCTGCACGGACACGCGCCAAAACGCGCCGGTTGTTATGAATAGCTTTCCGCGCGTGTTCCGTTGCTGCGGAACCCGCTCATTATATATATTTTTTTGTTTGTGTGTGTGTGTGTATGGATGCTTCTTGTGCGTGGGGATGGCGAACCGCGTTCTGTATATGTGTTGCATTTTTGGGGAGGGGGTTTTTATAGGGGACCATCGGTTGTTGTTACACTTGTTCTTGTTATTGTTACTGTTACGAGGCACACGTGTGTTGACTGTGTTAATCTTTATTCTTGGGGGTTGAGGGATTGTTGCAGCCGGGACGGCTGCGAGCTGTACAGGGGGGGGGGGGTGATGTAGGGATTATTACGGGAGAAACGGCGGACAACAAACACAGGGGTGTTGGCACTCACATACACGGGTGGTCACACCGACGTCCGCATCCGTTATTGCCCACGCCCCCAGCCCTCGGAGGTGATCCCTATAAAAGGTGGAGACCCAAAGAGCTCGTGGCAGTTCGACACGAAGCTGACCAGTGAAGATCCAAGACTCGGAGATTAGGCCCTGGGACTCCCCGGTCTCGCCGTCCTTATAAGGGCCGAGCCGGGTAAGCCAGCGGCGCGGCCCAAAAGCTTCCAGACCGCTGCCCTTATCAGGGCAAGGCTGGTTAGCTGGTGCCGAGATCTGTGCTTGCCAGGGCCAGATCAGTCAGCCTCCCGTAGCCCAGTAGAGGAGGACTGGGGAACAGGACAGGGGGCTTAGTACTAGGGTGGGTTTCCCATAGTACGGGTGAAGGGGCCGATACCCCTTCAACTATTGTGCCTGTCCCTGGGTTAATAAACAGAGTGTGCCTCAACTTCGACATCGTCTCCTCGAACTTACTACACATGCAGTAGGGATGTGTTACAGAATTTCAAATGAATCTGAAATATGTGAAAAGTGGGCCGAGATATGAGATTTTTGGATGATCTACAGGAAAATCCCGGTTTAGACTGATGTGAAAATGTGAGGTCACAAACAGGCAGGTTGTGACATCACTCCCATGCTCTTCCCATCACAAGTGATGCCATCTTAACGATACGCGACGTCACTTCTCAGATTATTAAGGTCATATTTAAATTACAGCTTTACCGATGGAATATAAATTGATTATTATTTAAAATTATGTAAAAATCACGACATTTAGTGAATTAACACAATGTGATTCATAATAGATCTCGGCAAATTTATGTCGCGAGACCCTCCACGTATTCACGTGTTCAAGCGTTTAAAGTTACGTGGCCTAATCCCAAAAATAAATTAGTAATCATCATATCAGCTGTTGAAACCCCCGTCTTTTTAAAACGTAATAATTTGAAATTAAGAAATAAAATCCGAAATTGGGCCTAAAAAAATTATATTGGAAAAATTCAAGGTGAAACTCATCCTTCGTGTGCGGTATCTTATCAGATGGCTTATCTAATGGCATAGACTAATAACATAGTATCGTATAAAACGTACCTCCTACCTGTCTAAATATATCTGGGCCAATACGGCACCATCATTTGAATTTCGAGTGTCGTCATTGATATTGCTATTATCAGCTTTATATTTTGCTTAAATGTAATCTATACTCGTAGGTGTAGTTTTATTTTATGTACAGCGCCTTGAGATATTTCCAAATAAAAGGCAAATTATAGAATAGAGGTTATTATTATCATTATCATCATTATTTTCACGTGTGTAAGTGGAGAGAAAGGCAGTGAGGGACAATAGCACAATGTGAACGCCATAACGTACAATTCATGCAGCGAGGTTGAATTCTTCATTGGTATATCTTCCTCTTTATCGTTTTCCGTTTTAGGTTTATCTCTGTTGAAACAAAGTGACATTTAAATAAGGGTAATTTTCAGAATGCTCACTTGCTTGGGAACATTAACATAACTATGTTTTTTACATTATTATTATTATTACTGCTGTGCTTGTTAAATCCAGCAAAACCTCACTGAATCTCAACTTCTTTTCACGAAACTCCTATAAAGTTTTAGTTTTTTGCAGTAGGGAGGAAGTCAAAGAAGCCAGATGAAAGCCATGCAGAACAAGTGGGGAGGTGGGGGGGGGGGACATAAAACAGTAGACAGGAAGGCGGCACCCGAGTTGGGAATCAAAACCAGGGGGCATCTGGTTGTGAAGCGCGACTGTCACCACTGCGTCACCACCCTGCCGCTGCCGATAACATGCCAGGTGGCACGACGGTGGTACGGTGGAGAAGGGATGTGGAGTGTGTGAATCTTTACCCTTTCGAAGCAAAGCAAAGCTTCTTGGTGTAGAAGAGGCCAAGCACCGTTGCGGTCGCGATCAGCACCGCCAGAGAGACTGTCACTGCGATGATGATGGTGGTCGTTTTGTCCTCTGTAGAAATTTAAAAAAATCATCGTTTTGGAAGGTAATTCGTTTTAAATCATGGAGGCTGAGCACAGAACCAAAGACTAAAAACAGCACTATTGAAGGTGTGATAAATAAAGAGTTAATATGCTTCCTTGAAGTCGAAGGGGATATTTTACTTTGGAGAGAGCTGTTCAGCGCAACCGTGAAAACCTACGCGTCAATAAAACGTCTCCGTACCCGTGGCCCACAAGGCCAAAGGTTTCCTGGAGGCCCTGGGCAATTACCCCTTATCGTACAGTTGCTGATGTAGATGCAGAGCAACAACTCAACTCTCACATTCAGGTGGTCAAGCTAGATAACAGCGTCAGGAGCAGCGGAGTGTATCATCGCTGTGATGTCTCCTTCATATTTGTCGATCTGAGCGTTGCGACGTGAAACGTTGTACGGTCTGTTTGCTCTGGATGGACCACGGTCGGCACACTGCTGGAGAGGATTTTTTGTTTATTTTCCATTTGCGCAATCAGCTATCCACATCTACTGCCATGGCTTGTGCAGTGGATGCGGTTTAGGATTGGACCCCAGTTGTTCCGGGTGGCAACTGCCCACAGGGGCCGCAGCCGCTGGTGCTGCCGATGGGAGTGGGCGCGAGACGCAGCAACTGGCGGCATCCCCTTGCTGCTTCGTGCCATCACCGTGAGGCCGGCAGCAGAGAGCGCCTTGGACTGTCAAAGAGTGAAAGGCCACCACGAGTGTGCACGGCGCTTTCTTCTGCGACAAGCACCGCAGGTGAAGTGTTCAAGGGTAAATGAAGGCGCAGCCCTGCAATTGGTCACTCGCGTCACTGCGAGCAGAAGACCCCCTCAGTAGTGGGAGCTGTAGAGGGCTCCCCCCTAGAGGGTATTTTGGCCTGCTGGTTCACACTGGTCAGGAGTACCCACACTTTACCTCACCACACATGATCTACTGATCTATTTAACTGCGTGGAGCATGGCTGCGTACGGTGCGAAATAAGTTAAACACACTTATACTGCACGATACACTACACTACTACACACCACTACTATACACTACAGTATACACGACTTCCTATATACCAGGCGAGGTAGTCAACATCTTGCCACCATGGCGCCCACAATTGATTCCTGAATGGAATCATGACCACGAACCGGGACAAAGCGTGGAACCTGGGGGATTGTTGATGCCGCTGCGATGCCAAGCAACGCACACAAGGGATGGCAGGAAAATTGAAAGCTAATTTCTTTCTGCTGGTGGAAGTGGTGCACTCTGAAGTGCAACGTCCAGTGCGCCAACCACCACGATCCCGTTGGCTGCATCCCCATTACCTCGGACGTCCAGGAACAGCTTTGCCTCCAGCTTCCCTCCGGGCACGGCGGTTACGATGTTCGTGAGAGCGACGCATGAATATTCCGCCATCTGGGAGCGTTCGATGTCATTGAAAGTCATCTTGTCTCCGATCACTCCGTCCAGTATCTGGGTGCCATTCTAGAGAGAGGGAGAGGAACAAACGAGTCGTGCACCACGGTGTCCTCCATGCACTCAAGACGCAGAACCTCTTGTAATACAGTTTTATAATAATTTAACCTTATGGCGGTACCCCTGGGTACCATAGTCCCCCGGCTCTCGCACAATGTCCGTGATGCAGTCGTTTTAGTCTGTTGATGGTCGGCGATGCGGCAATCGACTCATCTCGACGAGCTGTTCACAATGCGCTATGGTGCGTACGAGCATTCAGGATTTCGACGCAATCGTCCTCGCTGCGTTTCGACATCGCGGAGTGGAACTGATTTTGTATTGATTGTCGCGGAGTTAAGTACACCTCTGGAAAAAATAGTGTCCCAGAAAGAAAATATTTCATTGCCTCGGCCATTTTTTTAATTATTTGGTACCCGGGGTACCGCCATAAGGATCAATTGTTGTTTTGATAAGAGCCGCCCTCCTTTATACCAGGGAGTCTCTGAGCGCTTCACACATGGCAAGCGACTTACACATCTCATCTCAACACTTTTGTGTTGGGCGCCATGGTGGCGAGATGTTAACTACCTCGCCAGGAGGTCGTGGGTTTGATTCCGACCCTGACGCCTGCTGAATATATTTGGAGTTTGTATGTCTCTCTCTCTCCCCGTGGTCGTGTGGATTTTTCTCCGATTCCTCCGGTTTTTCTCCTGCACATTCAGAATCAATGCACGTTCAGAGTATTTGGCTGCAATACATTTCCACGTGATGATAAGACACTTTTTTGTGGCCAAGTCTCTTCTGAAAAACGAGCTATACAGCTTAGTGGGCATGACCTCGTAAAATAAATATAAATGGTGTATGTAATGTATGCATGTTAAAGAACAAGAGAGAGTTTCTGAGCGGCCCAAGTGTAGTGAACATGGTTGTTGCTGTCTGGTACCCCCCCCCCCACCAACGCACGTTGTAGAAGGCGAAGGTCGAGGGCGGGTTGGCGTCCGCCACGCATCTCAGGACGACATCATCGCCCTCCGTCACGTGCGTGGCCCCCTTGGGTTCCCAGATGACGAGCTCTACGCGCTCCGCAGGGTCTAGGGGGAGGCCGCGGTGGGGGGTGGGGGAGTGGAGGGGGGGCGGTGCAGGGCTCCAGGTTAAACAGCGGTCACGGTGGGCACGTGGGCAGGGCACGGCACCACCTGGCCACGGCACTGCGGTTTCGCGTTCAGTGGCCGCAAGAGGAAAATGGAGTGCTGCTGCTGTGGCAGTGACGGATTCGGGAGGGAGGGGGGGACTAATCCCCCCTCCCGGATCCTGAAGATTGGTCGTCATGGCTATTTACTTAGGGCGCTGCGGTAGCGAAACGTTAACTGCCTCGCCTGGTATGTAGGAGGTCTTGGGTTCGATCCAGACCCTGACGCCTGTTGTATATTTGGAGTTTACAGTGTCTCTCTTTCTCCCCGTGGACTGTGCATAGTCTGGAGGTAGCCACTTCGATTTGACCTCCCGGTGTCGCAGTTGAAATGATGGAAAATGCTTAATCAAATCTCCCCCTGCTCCTCTGTCCATCCCAGCGGTGCAAATAGATACACGCCGCACTGGGTTGGCAAGGTTGTGTGCGGTGCGATAAAGGGTAGGTAACTCCCGCCTCTTTCAACTCATCTGGCCTTCTACCTTTGCATGTTCCTTCCCGTGGTGGCATGGTTTTCCCCTCCACATTTAGAAACAACATACATTTAGAGTATTTGGCTGCTATACATTTTCACGTGATAAGCCACTTCGTTGAGCTCTCCTCTGTGGCCAGTTCGCTTCTGAAAAATAGCTATATAGCTCAGTAGGGTTACCTGGTAAAATAAAATGAAAATATAGCTCCCCCTCGCACAGAGCCTTCCACCACGAGTGGCGTGAGAAGACGATTGCAGTGCTGCACCTTTACCCAAAGGGGCACAGGTCATACGAGGCTCGTCATCAATTTCGCAAGGAGCTCGCCCGCGCCGTTTTGCTCAGCACTAGAGACAGCTCTTATTCGAATAAGTGTTGTGACGGACACACTGATGAAAGTAACTTGAGGTTTCAGATCGTCTACACGAGGCTGCTGAGTGTGATTTTCTCCCATGCTTTCAGATGCACTTCTGCGGCCGTCTGGAACGCTCTTCTGGTATTAGGAAGCAACAGAGAGATGTTGCTTTTGGCTTCGACGAGGTAAGTGTAAAAATCTCAATGTCTATGGGTCTCTATGTCTGTATTATGTTGACTGTATCTGAGCCGAAGGAGTTTAACAAAAAATGAAATTATATGCGTCTCTGATTGTGGATCATGTACGTCTGTTGATCTCAAGGTAAGTCTATGGATATCTGAGTCTATGAATCATGTAAGTCTACGGATCCCTATGTAAGTCTAAGGATCACGTAAGTCTATGGATCATGTAGGCCCATGAATCTCTATGTAGGTCTATGGGTCTCAATGAAAGTATATGTGAGGCTATTGGTCTCTTCGTAAGTTCAGTGGACATGACTCAAGAAGAGGCACGGAATAGAAGTTCATGGAGGAATGAACTCTGCGCGGTCGCCCCCGGGCAATGAGAAAAGAAGGGAAGTGTTTGTGTACGCACAGTGAACTGTGATGTTGATTCTTTGCGAATCCATGGTTTGTATCAGGCCGGGCATCTTGTAGCTGATGCGGCAGTGGTACGTGGCGTCTCTGTCCGCTTTCTGGGGTTTGTAGTTGAGGGAGGAGCGCACCGTCATGAAGCCCATCTCGTCATACTCCACGACGGGACGCTGATGCAACTCTGCATCGCAGCAGACGGCCATCCAGAGTGAAACATGAACACAACAAGCAAGATCATCGTCATCAGCCATGGTCAGTCCACTGCTAGATGAAGGCCTCCCCAAGCCACCGCCACTTCTAAGATGTAACCACCCTGCGCACGATCTGATTTCGTTGCTCCATCTGCGAGATCAGAATATTTTTTTCTACTGGAGGAATCCGATTAGCTATAAAGATCTTTTTCACAGAGTTCTCGCACACGCTCCATTCCTTGCTTGGCTGCCATTCCGTTATTATTCATCCTGCACCTCCGATTAGCACAGTTGGCCATGTACATACATACATGTGGGTTAAGGTCAGGGGTTTAAATATACTTTCAGTCATTGTTGAATAAACTGTTAAACGATTGTCGAGCATGCTTCGAGTAACATACCTGGATCAAATGGGGTGGTATTTTTATACCAAGTAATATTTGGCCGTGGAAAAACTTTCTCTGTAACACAAATTCCGATCTGTAAAAGACAAAAAATGAGTGGATTATCATAAACATTTATTTCTTTATATCGCACCTCACACAAGCAGTCCTAGAGTTTACTTAGTGACACACTGATTTGTCTAGCTTTTATTAGTACACTTCCAGTGCAAGGAAACGCTGGTAAAGTAACTCAGTACGGTGTCATGGTGTTAGTGACTGGAAATACCTGAGATCATTGGGGACAGTCCTCGACTTACGATCATGTTACGTTCCTGAGACCCGTTCAAAAGTCGAGGTGTTTATATCTCAGAACTCAATATAAAATGTGTTATGGTTCAACAAAAAAGGGACGCATTGTTAAAAGCATAAATGAGAATAATTATTGTACATTTGCATGTAATAGTGCAATATATACGGTAAAGTAAATAAAAAATAAAATAAACTATTATGAAAAGAAAAAAATTCTCGATTTAAAGCTTTCGTGACTGGTTCTTTCGGTAAAGTCACGTAGAAGGGAAGTAATAAAATAATAAAAATAAAACATAATCAAATACTAAGAGGAAGCAACGAAATATGTAAATGGAAGAGTGGTAGTAGGAGACTTGCAGCGGAGCAAAGAATCCATTCCCTGCCGAGAATACAAGATATATATAGTCATGCCAAGGCGCCCTTCCCCCCTTCCAACCCAGCTTAAATATACGCTTCAAGCGTGGTGGTGTTTCATTTTGCTTCCTCTTAGTATCTTTCACTCGACGGTCAATGGTATAGTGTATAGCAGATTGTATAATAATAAATAGTATAAAATTGTAATGTTTAATACAATGTATAAGGCAATATATAGCAGAGGCGTAGCTAGAATATTTTGCGCCCGGGGACGAACTATAAAATTGGCGCCCCCTCCCGTTAAATCACATTTTCCTATTACATCGAATAAGGAATAACAATTTAAATTTTAATGAAACATTGTATTTAAAGAAGCAAATTTATAGAAATTATATTACATGGCTCACTCAGTCACTGTCGTAGACTGGTTGACATAGTCTACAAAAGATACATTTTTATTGATTTCACTGTCGCAAACTGGTCAACACGTAATCAAAATCTGTTTTTTCAATGTTTCTCTTTCAACACTAAGAAGAGCAAGATCGCTGAGACGATCATGTCCCATTGAAGCACGCAAATGCGACAAAATAAGTTTCAATTTGCTGAACGACCGCTCACAGCTTGCAATTGAAACTGCTATTGTTAATAAAATTTGCAGTGAAATTCGCAAATTCGGAAATATGTCGTCTCCATAAAACACAATAAAACCAAGAAGATCCAAAGGAGTGTCTGGTAGAACTTCATTCCGGTTGCTGAGCAGCATTTTGCAATCTCCATTTTCTGTGAAAAATTCGTGGCCATTGATGTCGGTGTCATAGAAATTTCCAAAATCTGTGCAATTTCGACAAATTGCATCGACATCTGTGTCGGATAGAAGAGTTTTGACGTCCAGCAGAAATCCAAATTTTGTGTTCAGGTTTTTTAGTCGTAAACACCGTGTTGACATCTCCTGTTGAAGTCGATAAAATACGCTCTTCATATACGCACACAATTTCTTCTTCTGCTGAAAGTCCTGCATCTCTTGCCAGTTCTCCTGGCATCTTCCGACGTCGCCTAATTCTTCTGTCCACATCGATCCCCCAGGCTGTGCATCTTGTTTTGGCGTTTTCTACAGCAACTTGGCTCAAATCATCACGAAGCTTGACAAATTCATGCTCCAAAGATTCAAGATCAGTTGCTGCTTCCTTGAAATTCATAGTAGGATCCTGTAAGCGCTTCTGAGCACGATCAATTTTTCCAAGAATGACATTCCAGAAACGTAATAAAACTATGAAGTTAAAATTTAATACGCATGCCTGTTCTGCATCACTTCTGGTTTCAGGCGTCATAGTTACGTCCTCCGATAATTTGTCTAGCAGCCCTACTAGTTCATCCAGTCCTTCATAGATAGCTTTAACAGCTTCTGATCGTACACTCCAGCGTGTTTCAGGCCGTCGTAGTTTCCGCCACCAAAAAACAGGCCAGTTACTAAGGCTGAAAGACTGCGCCTGTCTGTTGTTTGGGACGTTCTTCCATGTAAGTTCTTAATAGGCGCACGTACCAAAATGTAATTACATGACATGTCGGCTGTGTGTGGTGGGATATATAAACTTTTAGGTTGAGGTGTAGATTTGTGCAGTAGTTTCAGGCTGCCGCGCCCGCCGCAACAAGTTATAATGTAACGCTGTAAGCCTCATTTTGGCGCCCCTTTACCTTGGCGCCCGGGGACATATGTACCCCCCTGCCCCCCCCTAGCTACGCCTCTGGTATATAGTATCGTAATTGTATAGTGAATATACAACAGTGTCATATACAGTAGGGTGGATAGAATAATACATAGTGTAATATTACAATGTATAGTCGAAGGTATAGGGTGGTGTATAGTAATACAGTATATAATTTAATGCTGGGTTTGTCTATGGCAGCATATAGTACGGGGTAGACCCGTGTGATGTAAGGGAAAAAGTTTAGCTGGAAGCATATTATATTTCTTGCGACATAGAATTGTAATGTATTACTTACTGTTAGTAGCTCAGCTTATTGGAGAGTATATTTAGTATACTGATGATACTATGTAGTTTATACTTTAGTTTTTTACGTGGTTGTTTAGTTACTGCAGCTACATACTATTAACATTCCTTCCCTTTATTAATGCTACCTCTATCCCCTCCCTTTGATGCTGCTAATCCTGCATAATGCATGGGCATAATATGACTTTGAAACCCCCCGCCCACCTCCTACGCATTTCACAAGAAGTACTAATCACATACCTGCATTTCCCATAAATATGCTAAATTCCTCTTGATATGCAAATTATTTTGTCAAGGCGCCCTACCCCCCTTCCAACCCAGCTTAAATATACGCTCCAAGCGTGGTGGTGTTTCATTCAGACGCTGTCTCCCGACAGACCTGGTCTTCACCTGAGGACGGCTGCTTGCGTTGTGGCCGAAACGTCGTGAGAATTATTTGATTATGTTTTATTTTTATTATTTTATTACTTCCCTTCTACGTGACTTTACCGAAAGGACCAAGAAGGAAAAAAAAATCTGTTTTAGTTTTGCTTATCTTGAGCCCTGATGCTGGCTTGTCGGAAGGGGCGGGATGCTGGACCTCATTACGTCTCACGGAGGATCGCTCCGCCGAACAAAAGAGTTCTGCGGTTCGGTTCATAAGTATTGATGGTTGAACATAACATCTGATGGCGGGTTCATTCGTGAGCGGGGATGTTCGTAATTCGGACGTTCGTATCTCGGGGACTGTCTGTACAGTGTTACAGAGTTAAACTAAAACTATTTTTTATTTTACCAGATAAGCCCCACTGAGCTGTATAGCTCTTTTTCAGATACGACCTGGCTATGACAAATGATAGCTTAACGAAGTGGCTTATCTTGTGGAAATTATTGCAGTCAAATACTCTTAAGGCATGTTTCTACATGTGGAGGGAAAAACTAGAGGACCCGGAAAAAAATCCACACCACCACAGGGAGAAGATGCAAACTCCAAATATACAGCCTTTAGAGTTGGGATCGAACCCGCGACCTCTTGCATACCAGGCGAGGCAGATAACATCTCGCCACTGTGGCAAGTTAAACAGTGCCAGGAACAAGAGACACTTCGGAGCCTATCCCTGGTGCAACTCAAGATTGCACATTACCATCTCTGTAAATCTGCTTGGCTCGTGGTAAAGCCCGGAAACCCATGCATCTCTTTCTCCGTTCGCGCCCAAGACCTGCCGAGCACTGTGGCAGCTCACGACCTCTGCAATTTGCTCGACTTGCGAGCTTAGGCTCACACCTCTACTTCCTTGACCGAGCACTGGAGTCTGTGGACCTTCTTTACTGGCTAATAGGATTGTGTTATCTTGTAATGGCCTGACCAAGTACTTTCTACTACCGTTAACATTCATCTTGTAAATGTGACTAGCCTTGTTAAATTGGCATGTAACCCCTAGGAAATCCTGGCATATTCCCTCGGGTTGTTCTTTGTCAACACCAGTACAGTCACTCCTCACTTAACGTCGGGTTGCGTTGATGGAAAATGTGAACGTTAAGCGAAACCGATTTTCCCATGAGAAACAATAACACTAGGGGTGGTTATTTTAACACGTAGGCTTTCGCGACCAATACTATCCATAATAGGTTTTTTGGGTTAGATCGCGTGATGAGGCTTGTGCTAATAACCAGTGAAATGTCGTATTGGAATTGTAAATGTTGTGGGTTTACTCTCCAACAAACCGGTGTGCCGTACTCGTGACGAATTGGCATGTTTTGTTTACGTAATAAACCTTACTAATTTGCTGTATCGGATGGTGGCAGATTTAATGACACATTTATGTTTACGTAATCTAACCCCAAAAACACCTCTATTCGTGGAGTTTATGTTCGTTCGTTTTTCTGTCCGCTTGTCCTGGTGAGGGTCGCGGCGGCAGCATGTTGAGTTGAGTAGGATGGTCCAGACCTCCCTTTCCCTGGTGACAGACTTTTTATAGGGAATTTCCAGGTGTTCCCAGGCCAGCTGAGCGACATAGTCCCGCCAGCGTGTCCTGGGCCGGCCCTGGGGTCTTTGCCCAGTGGGACATGCCTGGTATAGTTCCAGGGGGAGTCTAACTGGGGTCATCCTTACCAGGTGCCTGAACCACTTCAACTGGCTCCTCTTGATCTGGAAGAGCAGAGGCTCGACTCTGAGGTTCTCCCAGATTACCGAGCTCCTCACCTGATCACAGAGAGTGAACCCAGCAACCCTGCGGAGAAACCTTATTTCGGCTCCTTGTACCCACGATCTCATCCTTTTGGTCACTACCCAAAGCTCATGACCATAGGTGAGGGTGGGAATGAAGATCGCCTTGTAAAAAGCACGCTTTGTTCGAGAACTTAGCTCCCGATTCAAAACCACAGAATGGTACAGTGCCCGCAGCACTGTGGACGCTGCACCAATCCGCAGGCTGATCTCCTGCTCCCACCTACCATCTCTCGCGAAAGAGACCCTAAGGTACTTATACTCCTCCACTAAGGGCAGCTGTTCACCTGGAGAGAACAATCTACCATCTCCTGGAAGTGAGCCATGACATTATATTTGGAGGTGCTGATCCTCATCCCAGCCGCTTCACAATCAACATCAAACCGTTCAAGTGCATGCTGGAGATCACAGACTGACGAGGCAAAGAGGATGACATCTGCAAAAAGCAGCGATGTCACCTCCATGCCCCGTACTGGATACTCTCCATACCTTGGCTGTGCCTTGATATCCTGGCCAAGAAAATCACAAACAGGAGTTGAGAAAAGACGCACCCTTGGCGGAGTCCAACACCCACAGTGAATGACTTCGATTCAACACCAAGAATACGAACGCACCTCTCACTCCGAGAATAGAGGGACAAAAGCGGCACTGGTACATCATACTTCCGCAGCACCTCCCATAAGATATTGCGGGGAACACGGTCATATGCTTTCTCCAAGTCTATAAATCAGAGGTAGACTGGAGAAGCATACTCCCATGACCTCTCAAATATCTGTAAGAGGGAAAGGAGCTGGTCGATTGTGCCATGACCATGACAGAATCCACATCGTTCCTCCTGAATCTGAGGCTCGACCACCGAGCGGAGCCTCCTCTCCAGCACTCTGGGATAAGCTTATCCTGGGACGCTGAGGAGTGTGATTCCTCTGTAGTTGGAGAACATCCTCTGGTCCCCTTTAAAAAAATGGGGAGTATGAACCCAGTTTGCCAATCCAGAGGTACTGTACCCGCCTTCCATGCAACATTGAAGAGGCGTGTTAACCAAAACCCTCCTAAACTGTCCAGCGCTTTCAACAACTCTGGGCGAATCTCGTTTACCCCAGCAGCTTTTCCACTATGAAGGCCTTCGAGCGCCACAACGACTTCAGGAGCCACGATCGACCCAACCCACCCGGCTATTTTCCAGGGCTGCCTCCTGAGAAGAGAACATGTTCACCAGATTAAGGAGCTCCTCAAAGTGTTCCTTCTACCTCTCGACTATCTCCTTAGTTGAGGTCACTGTTACGCCACCCTTACTGAAAACAGCTTGGGCCACTTCCCGTTGACCCCTGCTTACGCGTCAGATGGTTTGCCAGAACATCTTTGAGGCTGCCCAGTAGTCCCTCTCCATGGCCTCTCCAAACTCCTCCCATGCCCGGGCTTTCGCTTCAACGACTGCTGCAGCTGCCACCATCTTGGCAAGCCGGTACCTCTCAATCGAGTCGGGAGACCTTTTTCCGAGCTTAGCCTCCCTTCTTCAACTTGGCAGCTTCCCTCACAACTCGTGTCCACCAGCGGGTCTTGGGGTTGCCGCCATGACAGGCACCAACTGCCTTCAGGCCACAGATTTTTTGCATCGTCCACTCGGACTCAATGTCTACGACCTCCCCCGGAGTGCAGGAGAAGTTTTCTCAGAGTTGGAAGTTGAAATCTTTCTGCACTGGGTCTTCCGCCAGATGTTCCCAGAAAACCCACACTATTCATTTGGGCCTTCCACGTCTATCTGGTCGGTGCCCCAGGCGTCGGATCCAACTTACCACCAGGTAGTGATCAGTTGACAGCTTTGCCCCTCTCTTCAACTGAGTGTCCAGTACATACGGCCTTACAGTAGGTCCGATGATACAACTATAAAGTCAATCACCTTTGGCTCAAGGTGCTCTGGTACCAAGTACACTTATGAGCATCCTTGTGTTCGAACATGGTATTTGTTATTGATGTTCCGTGACTCGCACATAATTCCAATAACATCTCAGTGTTCAGGCTGAGATCAGGGGGGCCATTCCTCCCAATCACGGCTCTCCAGGCATCTCATCGTTTCCCACGTGAGTGTTGAAGTCGCTCAGTAAAACTATGGAGTCGAGCACTGCAGCAATCGTCTCCAAAAAGGCCAAATACTCTGAACTGCTGTTTGGTGCATAAGCACAGGCAACAGTCAGTTTTCCTTTCTGAGACCCGAAGTCTCAATGAGGCGACCCTTTCATCCACCGGGATAAACTCTAACTGAACAGCACCCAGCCGGGGGGCTTATGAGTATCCCCACACCCTGCCAGGGCCTCTCACCAGGGGTTACTCCGGTATAGGAGAGAGACCACCCCCAATTGAGAAGTTTGGTTCTAGTGCCAATGCTGTGTGTGGAGGTGAGACTGACTATATATGTTGGTTATTTTAGTGGGAAATTTCCTATCACACTTAAGAACATGATATTTCTTAACTTACAGATTGAATCTAAAAGCTAATAATAACATTGGTGATTAACTGTACTAACTTGTCTTCTCTTTGCCTTGATCCTTTGCCTGGGATTTGGTTATCTTGATAGGTCTGTGGTTCGAGACAAAAGCAACTAAGACTACCTTTGCATGACTCATACTGTGGTTCATGTTTACATTTGAATCACGAGCAATTCAGGAGGTTGAGGTTGAAAGTAAATGTCAGCAAAACCAATATTGTTACTGGACACAATCTCATCTTCATAGGTGGCTGTCTGCGTCATCTGCGCTCATGAACCCTCTTTAGAGGAAGTCTGGGTGTCGACATTAATTGGATTCTCTCAAATGTCGCCATTTAAGAGATGAGAGCCTCCAAACTAAAATTAAACTACAGATACGCCTTTACTTACGAATATTCGAGTTACTAAATTTCAGAGATACAAACAAACCTGCCCGTATGTTCAGTTGCCTGTTCGGATCAAGAGTCATACGTTCAAATGCAGCGCAATAGATGGCGGTGCTGGCATCTACATTTAACATTTTTACCAGGTAAGACCCCACTAAACTATACAGCTCTTTTTCAGAAGCGACCTGGCCACAAATGATAGCTCAACGAAGTGGCTTATCATGTGGAAATGTTTATTGGCCAAATACTCTAAAACGCACGTTGCTTATAAACATGGAGGGAAGAACCAGAGGGCCTGGAGAAAAATACACATGACTGCGGGGAGAGAGGGAGAACACACAAACTCCAAATATACAACAGGTATCAGGGTCAGGATCGAACCCACGACCTCCAGTATACCAGGCGAGATAGTTAGCATCTCGCCAACAAAACCCAAGCCGACCCGACCTTCCCAATACAATTACTGTACCACAGCAAACAATATTATTGCAAATTGCACAAAAACCAATTGGTGAACGCGATTATCGAGGTAGAGATGTTTAATTGTGTAAGGGATCTGCGAGCCACCCTCACGCACACACACCACGCAGACACGACATCTCCGCTCTCACTATAACACGCACCAATCACACGCGCGGGAATGCGCGGGACGGGGGGGTCAGGGGTTAAAGGGCAGGGACGTCATCCGGACCAGGTGCGCCCGCCGTGGATGTGTATTGGGAGCGGGGTAAAATGGGCTGTGGGACGTGTGTTCGGGGTTGGTCTTGGAACGAGTGTTGCTGTACGTTGGAGAAATAAAGAAGTGTTGAACCATTCTCCGACGCCTCTTCAATTGTATGAAATCTCACCTCAACGGTATCTTTGTTTGCTTGAACAGGTTCATGCTTTCCAATTATATGTACTTGTGGTGGCGCTGAAATAAGTAAACATCAAGAGAACATTAAAAAGGTAAACATTTCCAAAACCATTTACACCATTGGTACCAATGGTGTAAATGCTTACCCCGAACTCTCATACTCTGATGGTGCATTGTCTTTGAGTTGTGCGCCTTTTGGCGTCATCAGGTCCAACCCATGTGAGACTAGGCTCTAAGGAAAGCTGTCTCGGGTGTGGACCAATCAACTTCATGGACAGTGCATACATTATCAGAGTTATGTTTTTGTTTGCATTATGACTGCAGGTATTGTGGTCTATGCAAACATGACTCCTCGTAAAAAAGGTGTCAGTTTTGTTGCCAGATAAAAGGGTAAAAAAACAATTATCATTTCCAAAAGCAATTGGTATACACGATAATACAGCTCTCTGTTGAGTCGCTGGTCCAGACAAGGCTGAGAACATTCTACATGGTGGTCACATGACATGCACGCAAGGCATGATGGGAGTCGTGACTTCCTGCTATTTGTGAGCAGCACACCTCTGTGTGTTTGTGACCAGCAATAATTGACGGTGGAAAATTCTGGTTTCATTGTTTATCACAATTTTGTTCGTCTATCAACTCCTATTTGCATCTTTGCAAATTTAGTTTTTTTACCAAATTTTCAACGGACAAATCCAAGCTTTCATTGGTTTCAAACTTTTGTTAGAACGATGAAGCTGGTGGACGTGGATCATGATAATCTCACATGTCTTCTTTTTGATTGCACTTTGTAAAAAAAAATACACAAATATCACATTATAGTGTTTAAAATGAATAAATATATAACAGTTTGAACTTATAATATTGCTTAAGTCTGAGTTTTCGTGATATTTCCGGCACCTCCGATTCGCATGGTTGGCTACGTACAGTGGGAAAGAAGTTCTACATACATAAAACATGGCCATAAAATGGCTATATATAAAACTCTTATCTGTTAACCTATTTTCTACAATTATAATTATGCACACATTTTTCGCAGACTCAATGAATTGAGAAGCGAAGGACAGCTTATTTGCAAGTTTTCCTTATAAATAGGTGGAGACAACTCAGGAATAATCGTGATCCAACGTCACCACGGATACGTGGAGTACTGCAGCATTAAACGCTTATAACAAGCGACACGTGGTTGTTGCAGAGGAGATCCTAGCAGATTGGTTAGAAATGTAATGGAGGAAATAGGATCAGCTGGTAAGACACGGTGTGTAATCCAGCAGTGGTGAAGGTGCGATATTGAGGTGGACAGCTAAAGGGTTCCTATTGTGGAGAACATCACAGCAGATGCGGTGGTGTAGGTGCGACTTTGAGGTGTACAGAAAAAGTGTTATAGTTAGGACTTTACAGCAAACGTTGACTCTTGTCTTGGCTTCTCCAGCTCCCTCCACCCCAGCCGACACGGTGCAGATGAAGTAACCCGAGTCGCTGGGGATGGTGTTGTTAATCACCAGAGTGAACTCGTCCTGAATGGAGATGCGGTTCCCGAATTTTGACAAATCGACCTGCTCGATTCGACCCTGCTTGTAAAGGATTCTCTGTCGAGTATTTTCTATAGGCTGCACGCGCAGAAAGTATATGAAGTACATACGTTAGCCAAAGAGATGGGAGTGATGAAATCAGTTCATCCATAATATCATTTTTTTGGGTTAGATCGCGTAAATATAAATGTGTCATTAAACCCGCCACCACTCGACACAGCCAATTAGTAAGATTTGTCACGTAAACAAAACGTGCCAATCAGTTACTACTTCAGCACACCGGTGTGTTGGAGAATAAACTCACAGTATTTACAATTCGATTACCATGACACAACCAGCTTCATCAGGTGATTAATCAGAATTGTGAAGAAGTCTTCCTGTTTCGTTCTTAAACATTGACTCTATTTACTTTGTTGTGCCTGTGGATTATTACATCACAGGATCGTGATAGGTGGCGGTGGCTTTAATGAAGGGCTTCATCCAGCAGTGGATTGATCACAGCTGATAATGAAGATCACATTATTGATTAACCATGTATTACATACCATGAAGAGTACATAGTTTACAAATACATATTTTAAAAAGTGTGCAATACTCACAATAAACCATGCCAGTTGGGGGTCGTTGGAATCTACACGTGAAATTCCACGTTCCCAGCTGCATTTTATTTTTAAAGATTCCCCGACCTCAATATCCACAGTTGGTGGAGTGGTGGTCACCACGATGCTGTCCGCAACACCTGCTGGGACATACGAACGCAACTGTGATGCCGCCGCCACGAAGCCGTTCGGCAGGCGCCCAAATCCCCGACCTCGCCACCACCAAGCAACGGAGCCAACCCCGCGTCCCCCTCACCTCACCTCACACGAACACACCCGCACGCATTTTCCCCCACCCATAGAGCTGGACGGGGAGGTCACCTGGCCGACTGGTTTTTATCCGAGAAACCCATATCGGGGTTAACTCTCACGGTTTCCGGCGATCAGGGAATTGGATGACCTCCCCCGTGCTACGTGGCACCGCGGCGCTGCGACCAGCCTTAATATGGTGTGGTCGCGGCATGGGGCATTCGGCCACCGCGGTTGAGGTGCATTTCCCCCCACACACACCCCCACGGGTCGACGGGGCAAGCAGGGGAGGGACGGGACAGCATGAATAGCGGGACCGCAGGAGCTGTTGCGCATAGTCATGGAGGGTTGGGATAATTACGCTTGAGCGCGCAGGCCCCATTGTTAGGAAGGGTAAGGGATTAACTAGGATTTACGCCTTGCACGCCGCACACTGATTAGCATATCAACAGCGCCCGGAACCACCGTGCGCGGGCTCGAGGTGCACGAGCCCATTGTTCAGCGCAGCATCCCCTTTGAGGTAGGGAGGATAAATAGAGGGGCGCAGAGGGGAAATCGCTCTCTTACTCCAGCGCCAGGCGACCAGACGCAGCTGCAGCCAGCGACCCGGACGTCCGTGTGACGCACCGAGGCACGCGGTTAGCACAAGGATCAGCGGACCGCCGTGGACACTTAACAGTGAGTAAGAAGGTGAATTAGAATCATAGCAGATAAATCGGGAATAGGTATAGAGGTATCAGCGTAGGCCAGCCTCGTCGACTCACTGATTTAACATCTAGTTCCAGGTCGCGGGTAATAAATCATTAATAGCTGATCGTGGCCTCGTGTGATCTCGTGTTATAAGTGTGAACGCGTGTGGTACGGTGTATGTGTAAGCTCTCGGCGTGCGTAATCGGCGTACCCCAGGTGCGCGATCATAACGTGAGCGGCCAGCGCGGCGCAGAGCGGCGCAAGAGTGGGTATCGCGTGTGGAGCTGTATGTGTGTGCGCGCACGTTCACGACGTGTATAATACAGGTGCGCGATCCTAACGCGAGTGGTCAGTATTGAGTGAGTGCCGCGCAGAGCTGTGTGTGGGAGTGCGCATACATTCGTTACGTGTCGGATACGGATGCGCATTGGTAACGTGCCGCACAGGGCTATACTGCGAGCACGGCGTTTGATTGATGATGATGTGCGCACGTATGCTCGCAGCGTGGGAGCGCGGCGCGAGGCTGTAATAGTAGGGGTGTCGCGGTCGAATGCCGGCGAAACCGTAGCGGGTAATAGGGAGGTGGGGTAACGTAAACGGAATAGGGGATGCAGGCGGGAGGGACCCCGGGGGCCAACGGCCCCCACACAACGACCGATTACTGGGCTGAACGCCGCAACTGGCACACAGTAACAATTAACGGCTCACAGAAATCAGCTCTGGGGAACAGAGTTTGTACGTTGCCTCTGGGTTGTTCGATTTTTTTTCACAGATAAAAAACACGCACGTGTAGATAACATGCACCGGGGCATCATCACCATCATCATCAGGGGTGCATTTACGTTATTTTACTGAACACGTTCTTGCAAGCTGAGACGGTTGATTGTGTTGCCAAAAGGCCGTTTGTTTGCTCCCAAAGTAGTTTAATAGAGACTTGTTTGTACGTTTGTATGAACGTTGAAGTTCTTTCGCACCATACGTTGCCAACCATACTCATTGGAGGTGCAGGGGAAGGACAACACGACTATCACCAGTGCAATCACCTTAGACTATATATATAGTGCGGTGCCGAGGAGGAACAAAAATAGACAACGAACGTGACTGGTATGAGCCAAGCATACTCATGCTGAAAATGTACACCTGCAAACTACTCAATTGGGATTACATTGCAGCTGCGTAACACCCCCCCGACCGCGACAACTTGGCAGGACCCTCCTCGCTACCATGATCTGAATGTATAAATTGCAATTTGTCTCACTGGGAAATTATTCATCCAATACGATGTACACTACGCTCGCAATGTGTACACCTGTGGGCCTGACAGGGTAATCGCGGTTATGGGTATATTATGGGTATATTTCGTAATGCTAATTATGAGGGGGGTGTAACTGGGGTAAAGGTAAAAGGCGGAGTCAGTCGAAGCTCCGGGAACCTGCTTCAAGGTTCTGGAAGGGGGTGTGGCTGAAGGCGGGGCTTGGCCACGCTGGGGCGTATATAAGGGGGACCGAACCAGAGGTTCGGTGCTGTTGCAGGTCCTGGGTCCTGGCATCGTCGCTGCTCGACATCATCTCTCTTCGTCGTCCAATTACGTGGCCAATCTTCTGCAAGGCTCTCATCGTCGCCGTCGCTGCGCTAGTGGGACAGCTGCATAGTTTGACGCCGATGATGGGGTTGTGTGATAGGGTCGGATATGTGTAGCTGCGTTACATATATGTATCGCCCAGTGTGTTCCTAAAAAATAAGAAGCCTTCTACACGACTTGTCTCGGAAGCCGCTGACTACACATGTTAAGTTCTTAAAGTGCCCTCTTCAATTGATAATCGCTCAGACCAAACTCGCAGCCGATACACAGATTTTACAGTGAGGGTAGAGTTCAATGCATTTGATGTGGGTTCCTTTCAAGGCTAAACACTGCATTTATAGTTATCTTTAAAGATAAGGTCACAGTTTAAGCCATTGGTTGTAAATGTTCGTGATTTTACTGATGTTTAGAGTTCAGGAGATGATAAAGCATGACTCAAAGGTTTATGGTAGCAAGCCATTTTGTACAGAGGGAGTAGTGGCGGCCATTTTGTTGCACCTGTCCATTGGATGAGGGTGCAAGATTCACGCGTAATTCGGGAATACGGTTTTGGGGTTTGAATAGAAATATCGTGATCACCACTTTAATCGTATTAGAAGAGGAATGTAAATTTACTTTCATTATTTTTTTTGTGAACAATTTTGCCAAACAACATCCGCGTTAACTGTACAATTGCATAGTTATAGTAACATCCACAGCCAGAGTTCCAGTGGGAATATAAAGGAACACATTTATTACTGTACCAGACAAATAATTATACATATCTACCCCCACCAAGTACCTCACACTCCACCCACTTAACAGACACACACATTCCGACCTTCACGCTCGACTTTACCCACCCACTAATACCTTGGCACACACCTCGCATTGCGACCTTTACCCTCCTGCCCTGCGCACAAAAATACACACACTCCACCGTTGCTCAATCTCCCACTCCCGTGCTTAAACACCGTCGCTCCTCCTGCTCACCACCCTCTGCTTGCGACATCGTTTGCGCGTAACATTTGGGGAAAGAAAAGTTGCTTGACCACACTTTCAAAGAGTCCGGGCTTGTTATTTGTTTAAAATAACTAAATTGTGCATAAAAAGCTCCCACAAGCAGATGCACCCGTAAAACACGCACGCACACAAACACATACAGACGTGCACTCACGCTAAAAATGGACTAACGCATGCAGACCCACATTTTGGCTCCAAAAGGCATGCATTAACTCAAATTCACATTCAATTATGCGCATGCACACACACAACAGTGGTTTGTATCCTAACTTGGCTGGGTTGTGTGGCACGGGCCCTCGCCCTGTTGTGCAGAGACACAAACCCGGCATCTGTATACCATTAAACTATTTAACATTTTTACCAGGTAAGACCCCACTAAACTATACAGCTCTTTTTCAGAAGCAACCTGGCCACAAATGATAGCTCAACGAAGTAGCTTAAGTGGACATATATAGCAGCCAAATCATTCTGAATGCGCGATATTGATTCTAAATGTGGGGGGAAAAACTGGAGGACCCGGATAAAAATCCACGCCCACCATGGGGAGAACATGCAAACTCAAAATATAGAGCAGGCGATAGGGTCAGGTCTGAACCCATGACCTCCTGTATACCAGGCGAGATAGTAAACATCTTGCCACCGCGGCATATAGAGTTCTTTGTGGGTAGTGATGTTTACTGTCCATACATGAACATTAACTTGGTTGGGCATGTTTCGGAAGCGGTAAAAGTACTCAGGCTTCGAGGAAAGATGCAGCATGCAAGTTAACGTCAAACTGATCTCCCGCTCACTTGAGCATGGGGCAGAAATCATTTCCAGTTTGGTCTTCAGCTAGTGGTGGAAATTCCACATTCCCATGCCAAGGCGAGTCTATAGGTCTGCTACTTTCGACTTCCCCACCAACCCAAGTGGTAAAAAGCGTGGAATACTAAGCCAAAATACCATCAACAGGGCCTCCAGAGCTTGCTAACAAAGTTCCTGCTGCCAGCAGTGGCGTGTCCTTTCGGATGCGCTTTTGCAGGCGTCTTGAACGCTCTTCCTTCCAATATTATGAAGCCACTGGGAACTGTGCACTTTTAAATCATCATCGAGATTGACAACTCATTTCTTCAGAACTGATTTTTGTGTTTAGTTTGTTGTCCCCCCCCTCGCCACACCTTTGATTAGCACAATTGGCTACGCACGGTGCGAAAGAAGTTAAACATAAGTACAGTTGCAGTGATGCACCGTCACCATGTGGCAGTCGAACTGATTTCAGCCCCGACTCCAATTCCTCACCATAATTTGAATTCCCACATTGTTGTTTGGTTGTTCCGACCGCGACATATTCCACCACTGCGCCTTTCCACCTAGAAGGCGTGGAGGTTTGTACACACGGTGCAAAGGCATTTCGCACGGGAAGGGGGGGGGGCAATTATTACTGCAAGAGACTGATGACATTGGTCACGTAATGTAATTCGCAGAGGAACTACTGAAGTGAACATTACTATGCAGGGATTTGTCGTTGATTTGTTGTGTTGGTCAGGGCCCACAAAATGATCTAGCCAAATGTGTTGTTATCCCCTCCAGTACCTAACATGGCCAAAAAGATTGGCTTCACCCAGACATCAACTATGAATC